TTCATGAGTCATCACCCCTAGTGAGTGGACTTATCAGTGAGGCCACTGCCCTCAATCACCAAGCTTCTGTAAATCACCCCAAAATGTTTACTGGTTGACTAAGACAGGCTTGGAGGAAATGGCTTTGCTCTATCTGGAGGGAAGAGATGACTGTTCACATCTCTCCAGAAAAGTCACATAACTGAGCCAAGAACTGACCGTCAACCCCTTATGACCGTCCTTGCCCTCAGGTCTCTTGTGGCTCATCCATGCTGGGCTATAGTGCTAGAGGGGATGAAAAATGAGACCATAGTGACACCTGCAGGCTACTTAGGGAAAGAAGAACTTTTCATTTGTCTTTTTTTCATTTAATGTTTTTTTTTTTTTAGAATTCCTTACATGAATACTCTATTTACATCATTTTCATACCTCCCTTTCCCTTCCAACTCCCCCACATCCCTCCACTTTCTCTAAAATTCAAAGCCCCTTTTTCTTTAATTATTTATTGTTACATACACACACAAAATACAATAATAATGATGATGATGCCTAGTCCATTTAGTGTTGCTTGTACTTGTAACTGTTCAGGGCTGATCACTTGGGACTAGATAATTGATTGGTCAGGAGTCTTATCCCTAGAGAAGACTGTTTATCCCTAAGAGAGAAATTTTTTAAGTTAAATGTGTGAGCCAGGGCAAAATGGGTTCATTATTAGAAAACAAAATATTACATTAGAAATTAATCCCACTTTTTATCCCTTCAGAGAATGGAAAGGCAACTAATTGCTTTGCAAATGCAAAATTATCTCTGAGGGTAGATGGAGTGACATCAATGATAAAAGCTGAGATAGCAAACACAGATCAATGAGATTTTGAAAAGAAGACGAAACGAAAAGACTGCTCCATCTCTCCTGAATTACACCATGAAGTGCTGAGAGAAATCACCTGCTCCGAAGTGCAGACAGACAGGGCGGCAGCTGCAGAAGAGGTAAAGGCCTCTCTGATCCCCGACTGGAAACACCTTGCTTTCCATATAAGAGTCAAAGTACAGTTCTATGTGCTGAAGAATTGAGGTGTGTCTTCATGATAACTGGAGCTCTAATCGTGACAGCGTGTGATAGATTACCTCTGCGGGCACTTTGTAGGAGGAAGAATACCATGGGTCTGTAGCTCTGTGAGAGCAGGAGACCAGGAAAGCCCTTGCTATCAGAGTCTCCTCCATGCTGCAGTAGACAAGCCTTCTGTAAGTGAGTTGGGGTCACACCTAAGAACAGGGTCCACTGGGCAGTGGTAGTGCATGCCTTTAATCCTAGTACTTGGGAGGCAGATGTAGGCAGATCTCTGAGTTAGAGGCCAGCCTGGTCTACAACATGAGTTCCAGAACATCCAGGACTACACAGAAAAACCATGTCTCTAAAAACCAAAACAATAATAATAATAGTAATAACAAGGTCCATGAGAAACTAAATTTGCTGAGCTTGGAGCTAAGACACCTACACTACCTCTGACAGAAATACTGGTCCCTTTCTTTAGTCACAAAGCAAATTGGAGGATGACTTCAGTAGCCTGTCACAATAGTTTGTACAAGGCTTCAAGGTATTTTCCTGTGTGTGTGTGTGTGTGTGTGTGTGTGTGTGTGTGTGTGTGTGTACATATGGGTTTGTGCATGTCTGTCTGTACATGAGAATGCCTCCATGTGTGATAGGTGTGACATTGTGATTGACAGGTCACCCAGCTATATACAAGACCCTGCTCATCCAGGGTGAATCAGCATGAATCTTTCTGTGAAGTATAACTTGGTGTGGTGATTAACAAACAATACCAGGATATCATTGTTGATATATTGGGGGAAGGGCTAGGGAGAGGAACTCCCCACAGTCACTTCAGTATCAGAGAAAGTAAACCAAGAAATGCCTGTACTGTTTATTTTATAGTCATTGACCTTCCCTTTCTATCTACAGTGAATTAATGATTAATCAGAGTAAAAGCCTATTGAAGCGGGATCAAATGTTAAGGGTCTGGTCATGATAACTCGTGCCTTTAGTTCCAGCACTCAGGAGACAGATGCACGTGGAGCTCTGTGAGTCCAAGGCCAGCCTGATCTACACTGAGAGTTCCAGGCCAAGAGGGAGGAGGTGTCACAGTGAGATTCTATCTCAAAAACATTTTTCAAAAAGACCACATTTTTCAAAAAGACTGCAGGTTCTGTTTCCAGCACCCACATGGTAGTTTACAACTGTCCTTAAATCCAGTTCCAAGGGATCTGGCATCCTCTTCTGGCCTCTGAAGGCACCAGGCACACTTACAGTCTGCGTATGCACACAAGCAAAACATTCATATACATAAAATAAATTAATCTTTTTTAAAAAAATTCTTGCTGGGAAGTGGTGATGCATGCCTTTAATCCCAGCACTTGGGGAGGCAGAGGTAGGTGGATTTCTGAGTTCAAGGTCAGCCTGGTTTACAGAGTGAGCTCCAGGACAGCCATGGTTACACAGAGAAATGCTGTCTTAACCCCTCCCAAACACACACACACACACACACACACACACACACACACACACACAATTAGAATCCAAACCTGACCTTCTCAGGTGACACCCATCTGTCTCTCTCCACCATCATAGTTGTGTTCAGAGAAGCCCAGCCTACCAGACTCCAATCTACCAAGGGCTATCAGCAGCGTTTCCTGTATGAGGGGTACACAGTAACTAAATGAGGTCCTTCTACCACTTGCTACACATACTCAAAGTCACACATTCCTTCCCCAAAATGTAAGACACCCTTAAACTCCAGCCATCCAGGAATCAGAGAGCCTGACACAGGCATGTACTATGGACTACTCAACAATCCTGTGGAATGAAACCTCCCTCTTCCCCTGAAACTATTAAAAGGAACTTTCTACACTACTTTGTGGGCCAGCCTGAACTCTCCTCAGAGCCTCCACTATGCTGCCTCTCCACGATGCTAATAATTCTTCTAATAAATGTTTTACTTGCCCAGCGGTGGTAGCGCACGCCTTTAATCCCAGCACTTGAGAGGCAGAGTTCAAGGCCAGTCTGGGCTACAAAGCGAGTTCCAGGAAAAAGGCACAAAGCTATACAGAGAAACCCTGTCTCGAAAAACCAAAAATAAATAAATAAATAAATAAATGTTTTACTCAAAAGGACACACACACACACACAAAGTAGAGAAGATGATGACAGACTTGGAGATTGAACTTGGTCATTGAACTTCCACACTCCTTCCATAGCAAGATGATGGAAATATATACCTTCTTTTTTTGTTTATATGATTTTTTTTTTAAAAAATTCTTTCAAAAGTCTCATTATGAAGCCAAAGCTGGCCTGGAACTCACTATTATAACACAAGGTTATTTATAACTCAGGTTCTTCTTACCTCCATCTCTCAACTGATTAGATTTTACATGTGTCCCTGTGGCCCAGTTCTCACACACAGCTTCTAAACAGGTGGCCACCTGAAGTGAACTCTCAGCCTTGCCTCCTCAGAGAGGTCTAACTCCAGACTGTCCCACCCAAAGATCCTCTGCAAATGGCATTTTCAAGGACAGGCTGCCTGTGTTCTGATTCTCCTGTTCACACACTGCATCCAGCCAGCCATTATGGCATCCTGACTTGGGGAACCTTTCCCTGATGCCCAGTCATAACAAGTAACTGAGTAACTGTGCCCGGCCTCAGTTACTTCCCAGGAGCAAGAACATGAGGGAATTGACTCTGAGGTCCAGGGAGACACTGCCTGGGTTGGAATTCTGGCTCACTGACATGGAAGGTTCCAGAAACTCTCTTCCTGAACTTCCTGTACTGCCCTGACACCTGTTCCTATTTGTTCTTATGGAAATGACATAAAGAAAGCAGGACGGATAGACAGCCTCCACCAGTCTCTAAAGATGGAGATCAAAATCATCCAGAGACTTGCAGTAGCTTAGTTTCTCCCCAGGCTTTGCCCAGAAGCCGAGGACTTAGAGGAAAGCACACAGGAGGGACAGCTTCTGGCTGTAACTCAAATCCTCCAGTTCATTAAACAAGGACAGGAATGTGAAAGCAGCTCCCACTTATTCCTCTTCTCAGCAACTCGGTCTTTTCCAGGAAAGAGAAAGAGAAAGCTACCATCACCAGTAGAGGATCACGTTACTGGTCACCAGGAGGGGTGACAGAGAGGGCTCCCTGTGGCCAGAGGGTTACATTGTGCCAACTTCTGGGCAATAGTGAGCCTGCAAGTAGGCAGGAGTTGTGTTCAGGACCCTGGAAAGTGCCTGTGGGGGCCTCCTCATTGCTCCCTGCCCAGCCTGTCTCCCTCCACAGTGAGAATGAAATGGGCTCAGTTCTGCTTGCATACACACCCCTGCTCCTCTTGACTCAGTGAGAACCTGCCAGTAGGTACAGAAAAGGAGCAAAGGAAATGACAGCGCTGTGCCGACCCTCTGAAAGCAGCATGGCTCCCCTCCCCCCCCCCCCCCCCCCCCGCCCCCTTTGTCACTGGCCTGTGGAACTCTACTAAACTAACTCCTGGATCCTAGGAAAATAAACTATGGCCCCTCTCAGCTCAGACCTTCTTCCCTCTCAAATACCAGCTGCAAGGATTCGAGCCTGATGCCCCACTCCCTGGTGCTCTGGAGGACAGTGAGGTGGGGGTGACAAGAGAGCCAGCAAACAAGGAAAACATTACACAGAACGGGGTCGCAGCCCAAGTCTCCAAGCACCCGAGGGGCCAGAGTCTGTGAGCCTGAAGGTTAACAGTGCCCAGGTGGTGTCCACGTAAAGAAGTAGCAGGTTCAGCACAGGATGCTCTGACCCTGGGCTGGCTGTTAAGGTCCCTAAGCAGACTTGGTAAACCCCCACCTCATCTCGCCATCCCCCACCACACTCAAGTCAAACTCAGATCAGCACAGCCACGCTCTGCCCCCTCTCTGAAGAACACTATGTAGCCTGCCCAGCCTGATCTTTCAAAACAGCTGTTTCCGGGAATAGAAACTGAAACCTATTCTCACTGAAGTCCCCTCCCAGTCCTGGCCTCCGGCAAACAAAACTCAGATCTAGCAAGTGCAGAGCAAAAGGCAAGGTTTGTGGAGAGAGAGACCAGAGGCAGAAAGACCGTCCACGAGGTCAGCCAGCTCCCACCCCTTCCTGACTGGTCTCTCAGAAGGACTCCAGACCTCTGCATCTGCATCTCATCTCTGAACATCCCGGGTCTGGATTTCAGTTCTAGATCTCTCCATAGAGAACTGCTGGAGGACAGCAACGTTTTTCTAGGAAGAAGTGACTTTCCAGAAAGGCCACTAACAACCGGATCCCACATAACCCTCCTCTGGAGCTGGTAAGTAAAAGCCTCCTAAAAGCTGCTTGCTCACCCCCAGTCTCCCTAAACTTCTGTCCTTGTGACATGAAAAGTAGAACTGTGACACCAGGTCATGGGACCTTAGGGTCTGGCCCGTTTTGCTCAGCACAGCAGGAAGGCCCTCTCTCTCTGACTGTCTCCAGTACCACACAGCACTGCAATTATCTTTGCTGCTCGAATCCATCCAAACCACCAGCATGGAGGCAAATGTCTAGCTCACCTGGGTATTCTTCTAATAATGGCTAAATTTAAAGAAAGAGGGCAGAGAGGGCAACCCATCTTCTCTTAGAATCTAAGATAGATAGCACCTCTTCATCTCTCCACAAGAATAAATTCCCGAGATCAGAATGGGCCACAGGCAGTATCTAAGATACATGAAAAAATATGCAGAAAAAGAAATTGGTTCTTGTCTGGACCTCAGGGTGGGTTTTGAGTGTAAGGTATCTTAGTGACCTTTCTGTCTGACTCCATCCAGATGTTTGATTTGCATTGGAGAAAGTGGCTCTGTTTAAGGTACTAACTCATTAACTAATCTACAAACTAACTTTCAAACACCATCTCCACAGAGCATGCTGGGCTCCATATTGTCCCCATTCACCTTGAGGAAGTTTATCACACTTTCCAGAGATAAATCAACATCTTGATTTTCCTCTCAGTCTTTCCTACTGGTGATCAAATAAGGAATAAATGAGCGTTTGAAGCACACACAAGGATAATAGTTCACAAAAATCCTTGATTTTAGGTTCATTGCTAGTCTAGTCTGGTTCCCACATTCCCATGTGTCTTTCTGATGGAGATTCATAATAACTGTGTTATATGTGAACTACATAGAGCCCCACACAGAAAAAAATCCACTTATAAATGAGCTTCATTTTGCACCAGGTAAGCCATGAAATTTATTTAGTGGGTTGTAATAAGCATGTGTTCAAGTTAATTAATTGGAGTAGGAAACAGTAAAACTCAATTCAATGAACTTAATGGAATAAAGTAGTGCCAGAGTGGATTGTGTGGCACCTACCACCTTTCATGAAGCTATGGGCAAGTGTGTGTGAGCATGCTCTTGGTTCTGTGTGTCTGTTGGGAGACTCCAAAGACACTGCTCACAGAGTCTGATTTTCCATCCCAGGCCCGGCTCCCCTCTCTAGTTGGATGTACTTGTTAAGCTGCCTCCAGAAGCCCCAAGGATCTTCATTCTTCCATGGGGATCTTCAACCTTATACAGAGGGAGTGAAACAGGCGTATAATCCAGGCAGGAGCCTCAAAAAAAGGAAATGGGGGGCATATGAATCCCAAAAAGAATTCTATGGGTTCTTTGCAAATACTGGATCAGTGTTCTGAGGCTATCCACAACAACACTCCCAAGTGGCTCCCCGAAGAACTTGCAGCTTCACAGTTACCCATGACCTTTCCCAGTCTGCTTGTAATACACGGACTGCAGCAGGATACAACCCTTTGAGAGTTACTGGATCCTGTGTGCAGCCGTGACCTGCACCATTTCCCACAGGGTCCAGTACAGGGTGTGCAAGTGTGGGAAGTCTCCATCTCCAATCACAGTCACATAAATAGTTCTGAGAAAAGCATGGTTTTCGCTCATCTTCTACCCTGGTGAGTAGAACTCACTTGGTAAAGTAAAACAGACACAGAACTAGACCTTGGCCAATGACAGGCAAGGGGGGAGTTGCCTTGAGGACAAGACACTACTAAATGTCACACAGCTTTTCTCTGACCCCCATCTCCATACACTAGTGCAGAATGCTCTCTCTCCTGGACCTTGTCTGGTTTCATTCCCCTGGCTTCCAGCCAACTTTGCCTCAGAACAGATAAGTCCACCATCATAGCTACATACCCAGCTCAGGACACCTTGACACTCTGAAGCAGGAAGCATCACCCTGGCTGATCCATATCCTCTCAGGTCTGACACAGGAGCTGCTGGAGGAGGACTCTGAATAGTCTCTGGAGTCACTGCCTTGAAGGGATTTTGACCTCTGTGTGGGTGTGACACGTGACAGCAACCTTTCCCATATTCTCCCTCCCACTGAACTCGGGACATCTTTATGATGATTTGATGAAGCATCTTGTTCTCTTGATGAGTTTAACCCCAAAACAAGTTCTGAGTAGTTGGAGACACTGGGGGAATTTCCTTTAGCATGGCAATTCAGTTTTAGGGTACACATAAAAGAGGACAGAACACATTGGTTTCCAAAATTGTAAACTTTGTGTCCATGTAAAGTATAAATGACAATTGTGACAGTGAATAGACCAGGGTTCCCAAGGGAAGCCCCTCATCATGCATCAAATCCTCTATTAAGAAGGATTGTCAGCCGGGCGGTGGTGGCGCACGCCTTTAATCCCAGCACTCGGGAGCCAGGTGGATCTCTGTGAGTTCGAGGCCAGCCTGGACTACCAAGTGAGTCCCAGGAAAGGCGCAAAGCTACACAGAGAAACCCTGTCTCGAAAAACCAAAAAAAAAAAAAAAAAAAAAAAAAGAAGGATTGTCTTCACTTTACCGACAGAAACATGGAGTCACATTCCAGGGATCAACCTTTGGATTCCTTACACACTCTGTGTGTAACTCAAGACTGGTTCTTAGCCATGGTGGTATACCCCTGTAATCCCAGCACTAGAGAGACTGAGACAGGAGCATCATAAATTTGAGGCCAGCCTAGGCTACAAAGAAAGACCCTGTCTCAAAAAAAAAAAAAATAAAATAAAGACTATTTAATCATAATTCTCTGTTTCTTCACCCACAATCAACAGTAATGAATACCACTTATCTAATAGGATTTGAGGACTGTTAAGTGAGATAAGGCATTCGAAGGACCCAACACAGACTCACAGACACAGGACCTTCTTGCTGTGTGGTTAAAGTCGAAGAGTGGAGGAAGAACCCGAGGTACGGCTTCCTCAGCCTCACCAAGAGAGCTGAGAGGTGTACAGAGAACGTCAGACCGATCTTGTCATGAAGCCATCACACAATTCCTGGGAGGTGGGTAGCATGACTTTCTGGTGCCAGAGGCAGGAAACTGGAGTTCCGGGAGTGTGTCCATGTTACAAAGAGCTGAGCACCTCAAACAGGGAATGGTCCCTTGGCCCATTTCCTTCTGTAGAGGATGAATCCAAATCCCAAGACTGGATGACGAGGCTATAGGGAGCAGGACTGGACTGGATTATATCAGGCGCTTATCCCAGGAGAGGTGCGAGTGAAGGGGGGGGGGGGGTGCCCAAGCTCAAGGAGAGGATGGAAAATAGAAGCTGCATGGTGGCATGTACTGTGGTCATGAATGTGTCCTACAGATAAATAGCTGGGTCTTCTAGGGAAACCTCCTACCTCAATGGAAGGAAAAGACAGGCCTCCAGATGTTCCATTGGGTGCTCCTAATGGGACAGAAAGGCTGTATTAAAAAGGGGGCGGGGGCTTGGATTTTAGAATTGTTTTAATTTATTACAGTGTGTGTGTGTGTGTGTGTGTGTGTGTGTGTGTGTGTGTATGCTCAAACATGTATGTGGGAGTGGTTAGAGGACAACTTTCAGGAGTTGGTTCTCTCCACCCTGTGGGTTTCTGGGTTTGAACTCAGATCATCAGGTTCAGCAGCAAGTGCCCTTGGCTACTGAGCCATCTCTCTAGCCCTGGGTGATGGAATGTTTTTATTTATATACTTGAACAAGGGGCTGGAGAGATGGCTCAGCCATTAAAGGCTAGGCTCACAACCAAAATATTCTTGAACAAGAAGAAAGTTGAGTTTTAAGAGCAGATAGCATAGCAATCACTCATGATAAGGGGACTTTTTGAGTCCATCAATAAGGAGCATTTGGTGTGTTGTAAGCTTGTGTAGAATCCACTTGGTGATCCCAACCAATTCTTTTCTCAGTCCTGAGGACCAGCCCACTCATGCTTTCATTTCATTGCAAGCAATCAGCCAACAAGAAAAATCTACTTTCACACACCAGCCTGAGTACCTCCAATAATAATAACACTATCAACAGTTATGCACAGAAATGTACAAACATAAGCGCTAACCAAAACATCAGCGGCAGGCTAGTTCGAAATTAATTGTTTTGATTCATCTGTGGAAGTCGATGGGAGATGAGCATATACTAGAAAAACGTGATTTCCCTAGAGGGGGAAAAAAAAGAATGTCATTTGAAAAAGGAAAAGGCAGAGTGTGCTTTTTAGAAGAGAACAATTAAATTCTACTTGACTCCGAGGGCTTGCAGGTCCTCACCAGCCCGGGCCTCAGTGAGGAGAGCAATGCTAGCATGCTCAGTTGCTGGTCCTGCCTGCTGGTGTTACTGGCCTGTGTTGCCACTGGGTGATCTGACCACCCTCTCCTGTCCTGCTTCAGGAGTACAGCCCTTCACACAGCAGCTGCACAGCCCCCCTCCTGAGCACCATCCTCCCCTCTGTGAATGAACCATCACCCCCTGAACTGATTGTACAGGAAACGTCTTTGCGCCTTCCCCGGTTGTGGATCTGGACCCCCGAGGCTGTGATAGGAAGTCTGTTGATTCCAATAACCCCCTATGTCTAACTTTATACCTCTTCTGCCCCCACAGGCTGAGCCACTACTCCCCAACATGGCAGAGACCCCTTACACCCCGCTGAATTCGTCCTTCGGCTTTGCCGCATCATATCAGACCACGGGCTGCGATTTGCCTAAGGTCAGCAGGACTGTTGAAAAGGCCTTGAATGAAGGGAAACTGTTGGACATGGTATATGGGATCAAGGAGATGGTGGCAATATTGTCCCAAACCCCACTGAACATCGCTTTGACTGGGGACTCGGGCAATGGCCTGTCATCTTTCATCAATGCACTCAGAATCATTGGCCATGAAGAAGATGACTCAGCTCCCACTGGGGTGGTGAGGACCACCCAGACACCAGCTGAGTACTCTTCACCCCACTTTCCCAATGTGGTACTGTGGGACCTGCCTGGTTTGGGGGCCACAGCCCAAACCATAGAGAGCTATAGTGAAGAGATGAAATTCAAGCTGTATAACTTATTCATCATCATCGCCTCTGAGCAGTTCAGCTCAAATCATGTAAATCTTGCTAAAATCATCCAGAGGATGGGGAAGAGGTTCTATATTGTCTGGACCAAGCTGGACAGGGACCTCAGCCAATGTGTCCTTTCAGAGATCCGGCTCCTACAGAGTATCCAGGAGAATATCCAGCAGAGTCTACAGAAGGAGAGGGTGAATATACCCCCCATATTCCTGGTATCCAATCTAGACCCTTTACTACATGACTTCCCAAAGCTGAGGGACATGCTGCATAAAGACCTCTCCAACATCAGGTGCTGTGGGCCCTTAAACGCTCTTTCTGGCATCTGTGAGAAGATCATTGATGATAAAGTGGCTTGCCTGAAGGAGAGAATAGACAACGGATGCTGGGGGAATTCGTTTTGTGTCGGGGACAATGATGACATGGGGGAGTGTCTGAAAGTGTTCCGACTGGAATTTGGTGTAGATGATGAATCACTTCAACAGGTAGCCCAGAGTATGGGGAGAGTAGTCCAAGAGTACAAGGTCGACATGAAGTCCCAAACCCTGCACACTCTCCGCAGAAGGGACTGGAAACTGAGACTGATGACTTGTGTATTCATGAATGCATTATTCCAAATTCTTAAATGTCTCCCAGGCTTACGTTGTTGCATCCTCTGTTCCAGACGCATGAAACTCAAACGCATGCTTCTGTTAGTTTCCCAGGACACCAAGACCATCGTGAAGAAAATCCTGAAAGACAGCATCAGCTCTCCTCAAATCTAGTGTAGGGGGTGGTCTGTCACCCTTCTCACTTGGAAGCCAGACTGCCTTGGGTCTGGATCTCACCTGGATCCATCCCTACCTCTCCACTAGAAATCAAGAGATATAACAACACTTTTTCTAAAGGTTCTAGATCCTTTGAGAGGAGTTAAAAATAACTCATTTCACTTGTCTGGATTCTAATGCACTCTTCCACTGAGGGACAGGGACAAATTGTTTAAAAAAAATTGTTGATCATGATTCTTAGATTTGGAATATAGAAAATTTTAAGTGTGATGTATGTCTAAATCAGTTTTCCTCCAAAACAGTAAAGTCAGATCTTCTTCATTAGCACCTTTTTATTCTCACTCTCCTTCCTTTCCCTGGATAACCCTGTTAAGGACTCATTTGGTACAGAGGAACACGTAGATGGAGACTATGGTAGCCATTGCTCTCTGGATTCTGTTTAGTACTGGGGAAAGGACTCAGACAGCATTTCTAATGCAAACTGCTTACCTGTCACACATTCACTGACAGGTACCTAAAAAGAGTATCTTAAGAGGGAACTCAGAGCCGGGCAGTGGTGGCACACGCCTTTAATCCCAGCACTTGGGAAGCAGAGCCAGGCGAACTCTGTGAATTTGAGGCCAGCCTGGTCTACAGCACAAGAGCCAGGAAAAGCACCAAAACTACACAGAGAAGCCCTGTCTCAAAAAACAAAACAAAAAAAGAGGGAACTCAGGTATACATGAGTTAGTGTCATGGCAAGAGCGTAATGGCATCAATGGACTTCACACTGGATCATTTGAGGAGAATTTGCTAATGATACATCCTTCAAATGTGTAATGAGGGTTCAAGGAGATTGTCAAGAGATGGTGCTGGCTTCCTCCAGCCTCCACTGCGTTGAATGTATTGGATGAAGTCCCTGCCTAGGCTTATATTGCTTTTGGATATCCAGAATTAAACCTTGCTTTTGCATTCCGGCATGCTCGTCTTTGGTGGTCTCTCTGGGGGTCACGATCTGGGCACAACATTTGGGGGCTCTCCGGGATCCCCAGAGACCCCCCTCAGGGACTCCTAAGAGCTCCGGAGGTCCATCTGCACCGATCGGTAAGAGCGCTCCATTTTCTTGTCTTTGCTTTCCTTTTACTTTCATTTTCTTATCCGAAGCCGGCGGTTGAATCTGACAGGCTCACCTTGGCAGACGCGCCTGTAAGGTGACCCTGGAGGAGTTGGAAGACATTCCAACCCCTCATCAGGACGCGGGGGTCCTCACAGGTCCCCCCGTCATAGGACGCCCGAGAGGGGTCCGTCTGTTAGGATACCCGTGAGGGGTCCATCTGTTTGGACACCTGTGAGGGGTCTGTCTGGGGATCGGGAGACTCTGTTGAATTGTCCCTGTCCCATCCGTAGGTCTTTGGCATTATCAAGGCTCCCTCTCCGGACTCTCATCTGCCTGAACCATCTGTAGGGCCCTTGTTCTTCCTTTTTGTCTGCCTATCTTGTTCGTCAGTGTTATTTGTTATGCCTTCATAAATGTATAAATGTGTGAGAACTGTGGCCACATGTGCGAGTGTTTTATGCCTGAGCTTGTGTATGCATTGGGACTTGTGGGCCGGATTGCCAGCCGAAGGGATGGAGACCCCTTTGGTGGTTGAACTGGCACAGACTAACCTAACATTGCTTCCTTGCTCTCTCTGACCAGAGCACAGGCAGCAGGCAGCAGAAAGCTTGCAATGAGTCCGGCAGGTAGTGGCTGCACAGCTGCTACTTCGGGGACCCAGGGCGCCACTGAGAGGGCTAGGTGGCCGTGGGCATCAAGGGGCCTAGATGCAGCGGGTTCAGGGCCCCAGCTCACTCAAAAAGCTGTGGAGTAGAGGCTTGGCTGCATGGGAACTAGGCATGGCTTTGTGCTAGAGCGGGCTGTGAGCACTGTGGGGCCAAGATATGGCCGGCAGGTTCTGGCTGGGCTCCTGTGTGGACATGGGGCAGAGCTGGCGGGAGCTAGCAGGAGCCTCAAGGAGCTCAGTGTGGGGGCTGGTGGAGAACTAACTGCCCCTCCAGGGTCACAGCTAAGGAGTGGCCTACAGGTCTGTGGGCCCAGCCAGGGCATGAAGTCACTTTCAGTCTGCTGTTCTCGTGTACTTGAGGGTCTGAGGTTGACAGCAATCTTTTGTCTCCATGGTGTATGCCTTCCCCGTTCTCTTCCATGCTGTAGGGTGGGGCTCCCAAGACCTGCCCTGGGGCTAAAACCTGATCAAGGTCTGGCTCCAAGAATGGAATGTCACCAACAGTTTCTTGTCTGCAGTACAGTGCTGATGCAAATTGAGAGTTATTCTTGTTATGGTATATGCATGTATTTCTGTTCTTGTTTAAAATATTGTAACTTTACAATATATTCTAGAGTACTGAGGGAAATCACAAGAAAGACTTTGGTAAGAGTTTCTGTTTTAAAGGAAAAGAAAAAGCGCAATTTGTCTGGAGTAAATGTCTGAGGGATCACAGGAACGGACTGAGGGTACATGGAAGGTCGTAGAAGGTCAGAGGGGATATGATGTAAACTGTTTGTTATGGTTTCTTATACCTGCAAATACTGAATTTGAAAGTTAATTCTTATTGGTTTTCATCTTAAAAATGCCTAATGATTCTGCAAACTGCTAATGTGTGTATGTATACAGGTATGTGACTTGAAAATGTAAGCAAGCTTTAACTGTATGTATGTATGTATGTGTGTAACTTGGATCCAACTGTGTGTATGTGTGCAAGTAATTACTGTTTAGAAAAACGAGCTTTAAACAGCAACCACGTGGCTTCCTCCATCTTGGCTGGTGACCTCATGGGCAGCCATGTGGCTGGCAGCCATCTTTTACTAAGGTTATAAAGATCTACTCGGGTTAATACCTAATACTTATGTCTTTACCAAGTGTTCAACAGCAAGTTTCTAGAGAATTTAAATAGATGGCAACATATGTTTAATAGATTAACATCAATGCTTTTATTCACAGGAATATACCTTGCTCTGGCAGCTAAACTTTGCAACATAAAGGAATCATAGGAAACAGCTGAGGTTTGCAAATGTATGGCAGGACTAGAGTTCCAAAAAGAGTCTAGTTGCAGTGGTGGACCTTAGCAGTTTTAAAAAATTCCAGTGCCAAGTGATGATCACCAGAAGCACCAGCCATAATAAAATGGAGCAGTCAGGCTATGTATGTGCTGCCAAAGGTAGGGTCAAAGAAATCATCCAAGCCTCTAAGTAAAAGAACCAAAAGGATTATAAATGAATCCCTGATATTGAAATTTGGGATTGTTTGCACTTTGGAGCTTGGTTTTTCTTTACACAGATTGTAGTGATGCCATGTTTTCTCCCCCTTAAAGTAAAAGAAGATACTTTATTGTTGATATTACAGAAGACATTTGAGAGATCTTAATCTTTTAAGAACAGTTTTTATAGTTAAAAACCAATGTCTTAAAAAATGTTTCTTCTTACCCAAGGTACATTCAGGCTTAAGATTGTTGTATAATGATATTTTGTTTTGGTTTCTTTACTGAACCTGTATTTGATGCTAGAAGAGCTTCAACTTAAAAGCATTGTTTTTAGGCTACTTTTGTAGACTGTTAGAGAACATAAATAGTCAGTCATAAGTAATCAATTTTTAATTGTAGTCAGGGTAAGTAAATACTGATGTAAGTTTACTCATTTACTCAGTCCCTTGCATATGTTTTTAGGGTTGAGCTTGAAACAAGTAATTAGAAACAAAGTTTGTCTATTCAGATATACCTGGACAGCCCTCGTACTTCAGAAATCTGCAGAATATGGCATTTAAATGTTGATCTAAAAGCTTACTATATCAGACAGGCTTCCAGGTCCTAGCAGTGACCCAAGGTCTCCAAAGAAGATTACGTACGAGGCACCACAACATCTCTGCCTGAAATATGACAATGCTGACCACAGGGCAAGATGCCCCAATGCAATGCCTGCCACCAGGACCCAGCCCAGACTGTGGACAAGCAGTAGGACACTGGAATTGATTGCACCCTTTTGCGTGATCAAGGTCAGTCTTCCATGTCCCTATTCCACAGGAAAAATACTCTGCCTTATGAACCTGATGGCGGAAGAAGATTTATGCTATTCTGACTGGTGCCTCCAACGCTATGGAGACCTGGGTAGGGTTTGGTCCCTGTAATGTATAGGATTGGAAGCTTCTTGGTCTGCACTCAGATATAGTTTATCCTTCTCAGATCTCTGACAGTACTGATGGCCAGGCTAGCTCTAACTTTGTCAGCATGGCAGCATCAACCAGATCCTTCTGCAAGGCTATAGCTAGGTTGTTAGCTCACTTTTAGGAAAATGTTCTAAGATATAAAAGTTTAAGTAAGTCATAAAGGTTCAGATATGAGTATAAAATGAGATATGTTTCAGATTACTCTCCTGTTCTCTGGTTCAGAGCTTAACATTTAGGAGCCCTGATGAGCTGGTAGAGCAATGACTACTTACTATTCAGTCACAAGCTCAACATTTTGGATTTGTTTTAGATGTCATCTAAATATGTCTAAATGTAAACCTAAAAGTGCTTCTCATCAGGTCAAAAATCTCTGTCCAATTTATACCTGGCTTTCTGAACAGAAGGAAAATGCAAAAGCTTTTAACCCAAATCTTTAGTTCTTGTTGGGACTCAAAGGTATGAGTCCACTTCTGCTGTTTTACAGATACCCATTGCCTGCTTAGTTAACAATATGGATTTCAGTATAGATTGGTAATACTAATGTATCTAAAACTTTTATGTCATTTTGTAAGTAGGCCTCAAAAGATCAAAAGAGTCATAAAAACCTAGACCCACTTCACAGAGGTCAAAAGGACCCCAGATAAGTATTCCTAAAGATGGT